CCTCTCCGTCGTCGTCGTCGTCGTACCGCCGACCGACGAGAGAGAGAGAGAGAGAGAGAGAGAGAGAGAGAGCAGGGATTTAGTCAAACACATAGATTTACTCCAGAGATTGATGCGTTTAAAAAACTACACTATACCTGATAACTTTAGTTGCATGGCTTGAACCATCAAAGAATAAATTTTCATATAGCCATTAAACTAGATATAAATAAATTTCCATATAATCATGATCTCATTTACAAAAGGAACACAGAGCTGAGCTATGCTTGAACAAGGCTTCCGAAGAAATAGATCATAAATACAGCTTTAGAAAACAGAAGCAAATTTGATCAAAAAAGGCTTTTTGACAGCTAAAAATTCCATGAGTGAAATTTGTAAGATGCCAATATCAACGACTGAAGAGGAGGAGGCCATAAAGCAACTCCATTTATGGAACATGTCTCCGTTCGATGCAGATAAATTGGCATTTAAAAATTTGAGTGTAACCATGATGAATAGAAAACCGACAATTAATTAACACGAATAAAAAGTAGGCAATTAACTATAAGAGTACACAGATCATTCTGTAATGCGCACAAATCGCGCGCACACTCACTTCATCTATCACGCGAATAATCAAACCTACATTTCAAATCTAAATCCCAAGAAAAATTTGTAAGAGAGAGAAAGAAACCAGCTCAAGAATACAGTGCTTCATAACCAAGATTAGAATTTCAAATAAACACAAACAATCCAACAACATATACAGGAAGGAGTAAGTATAAAATGGAGGACATCAGAAAGGATCAAGCATGCATGTGGATTAAAAAGAAGAACAGAAACAGAGGGATGGGAGACGGGGGGACCTGGAGGCGCGAGTTTTCGAAGGGGAAGTGAGCTCTTCCACACCCTGGGCAGTGCTGCAATGAACATCAGTCAATGTTCTATAATGAATCACCCTTCTGTTATCCAATCTACAAAACCCAGATCCATAAATGCCCAAAGAAGAGAGCTGCTGCCTCCGCCCCATGCAAGGCGACGAAAAGAGGCCAGATGGATTGGCGGCCATAGGAGGAGGGGAGAAGAGAGCGAAAGACAAAGAGATGGAAAATGGTGCTGTATGTTAGAGGAGAGGAGGGAGGTCGAGATTGGGGAGCATTTTAGAGTGAGAGAGAGGAAGAGAGATGAGGAAGTTTGAATCCTCGAGGGGTCCGCAGGGTGCCAGAGATGACGGACTAGGCCACATAAATACTCCCACCCACCATCAACAATCGTGCGTTCATTCCTAGGAGCTGGAGACACCCACTCCGCTTATTTTCACGTTATACACACAAACAAACTGGCTTAGGAGCTGGAGACACCCACTCCGCTTATTTTCACAAACAAACTGGCTTTGAAACTCTCTTTCCTTCACCCGCCACAGATAAAAGAATGGAAAACATATTACACTACATGTAACCCCGTGTAGTTTTTAGCATCGGGTAGTGTTTTAAAATGAAGCAATTTTTAATTAGGATAGTTAATTTGGATAGCAATCGGTCAAGATAGAACTGGTTCTAGAATAATTCTAGTATCGGTCTGGTTTTTCCCTAAAAGCTTTTTTTTTATATTTTTCTTTTTTCTTTCTTTTTTAATTTGTCTCAATATTTTTTTAAGTTCTCTTAAATCCTCACCTCACAAGTCTTTATTTTAATTTTTATTTTATTTTATACTTATTTTTTAATATTTTTGGGATTACAAATTCAAACCAATCCAAACCGATCTGGATAACCAATCCAGCAATCCGACAAAATCTATAGATAAACAATCTGCCCCACCAATCTAGGTTTTAAAACACCGGTCTGGGCTAGAGTTTTGTCACCATTCATTACTATTCTACATGTTTGTGATTCATAAGGGTGGTCAAAGGATTTGGTTGACCTTGCTTGGCAAATCCCGATCTAGACATCGATATATATCTAGGTCCATCGGATCCAAGCCCAAAATATGGGTAGGGTTCACAGGTTTTACGGTAAGTCTGACTTAGACCCAAGACAAGTCATGGGAGTATCAAAGTTGTGAAAGTTGCAGTTGAACACGAACATGAAACAGATCATGTCCCGACCATCATGCCTAAACTCCAAACACAAACCCAAGCCTTATCGTCTTGGAGTGTTGACATCCCTAAGCCTATAAAGAGATGAGCTCTCTAAAAGCGCTATCTTAAAACAGTATTTGCCCCTACTTAATAAAATCAGTGTGCATGATGATTTATCCTCATGATATCTAAAAACAGAAGGATAATATTATATCTTGTAGGTCCAATGCACTAGAACAACGAGATCCCTATGCACGACAATTGTTGAGTTTTAGAGAGAACGGTTGTAAAGTTATTAATGAAAAAAAATCCGCATTATATTTATATGGCGTGTTTGATAACAGGAACTTGCTTCACAGAACTCGTAAGTTGCTTGTTACTGTAGTCGTTCTGTATTTGATAAAACTTAGCCAGTTTAAAATGGTAAGTTACTTCTTATTGTAGAACTTCCCCACTTCAAGCTTAAACAAACTGCCGACGATTTGGACGGAAGTTAAAATGGAAAGTTCCATAGGGAAGTTTGATGCATCCCATGTGAAAAAACTGCAAGACCCTTGCATAGACGCTCAAACACAGAAACCCTAGCCGCTTCCTCTTTGACAAAGTCTCTCTCTCTTCTTTGTCTCTCTCTATCTCCCTCTCTCTATTCTCTGTTGAGAGAAAGAAACCCTAGCTTCTTCCACTCTGACAAAGCTCTCTCTCTCTCTCTCTTTCTCTCTCTCTCTTCTCTTCTCTTCTCTGGAAGATGTCTTTGTCTCTCTTCTTTCGCCTCTCTGTAATCTCCATCTTCTTGGAGCCTCCCTTCCCTCTGTTCTCTCTCTCACCCTCTACGAGCGAGAGGTTGAGGAACCAGTGCAAGCAATTGTAGCAACCTCTCAATCATCAGTGAGTTGTATGCAGATAGTTCAATTTTTTCTGTTTTTTCGTAATTAAGGTTTTTGGATCCCTTCATGTTTTTTTTTAGGAATCCTTGTAAAAAGATTTACGGCTTTCCCCTTTTTTTTTGTTGTAAATTTGCTATAAAAAATTTGGGGCTTTCCCAATATTTCTCTGTTGTAAATCTCCTAGATTTTATTCTGTCTTCTTATTTCTTGTTCCATTTCTTTTCATACAGAAGTGGACACCATACTTGATTTATTTCATTGATTCATGATACTTGATGCCCCAAATGCATGTTAACAATATGCAACCTTGATTTTATATATTTACGTATTGGTGATTCGAGTTTACTGATTCTAGAGAGCTACAATAGTTCTTTATTTTATAGCTTGAAATGGGAGCCAAGATAATCTGATTTATTTCATTGATTTATGATATTTGATGCCCCAAATACATGCAAAAAATTAGCAACCTTGATTCATATATTTATGTATTGGTGACTTGAGTTTGCTGATTCTAGAGAACTACAATAGTTCTTTATTTTACGGTTTGAAATGAGAGCCACGAAATTTCAGTTTAAAGTATGGTACTTTTATCTCTTGTTATTGTTCCTCGATAAAGACTTTTTTCCCCTATTGTGTTTTGGATTTCTTTTGTTTATTTAGTGGGTTTTGGTGATGTTTTGTATATAACAAAGCTGAGAATGTTCTTGTATAATATGATTTATTTCCTTGATTCATAGTAGAATGGATGAAAATTTTCTTCAAAATGGAATTGAAGGACCTCATTCTTCAAAATGGAATGAATGAAAATTTTATTTTCCATTCTCTCGCCTCTATGCTTTTTCTTCAAAATGGAATAGATGAAATACATAATCAACAATATTATAGGCCCGAAAAAAGTATTGGTTATTGTAATTTAGTTTGTTTCAAGTTCCATTTTGTTGGTTTTCATGTGAGCATCTATGAATATCAGAACATTTTTCATACCTATTTAGCTACTTTCTTTTTCCACTTTATACCTTAAAATTTCTTTCACTTTGCGAAAGGATTTTCAGAAAAGGGTAAATTTGCCTTCGAGCTTTCCTCGATGATAACATACTCAATGACACTTTCCCCAACTGGCTAAATTTTGCCTTCGAACTTATTTGTCCTAAGCTTGAGTGACAATTCGATTTGTGGGTTGATTCCTTCTTCGTTAAGGACCTCAAAGCTCCAAAAAAACTCATTTCCATTTTTATGTAGCAGACTAATACAAATTAGGATGGAACTTTCAAAATAAATCCCTTAATAGGGTTGATAGAAGTAGAAGAAATTTTGATATGATTGATATTGTTGTTATTTGTTGATCACTTGATTGCTCTTAGTTACTCACAATTCTTGGTTCAAAGCACTAAGTTACTCAAAATTCTCTCACCTAGTTATCTTTCGGATATTACCCCTAGGTTCTCACAATTCATGATTCTCTCCCATGGGTCTCTTTTGAGATGGATGAGTGGTGATGTAAGAAATGATAGAATTTGGTGATTGTAAAAGGTATATTGGAGCATAGCCTATAATGATGTATTCAATGGATGTGTGGTGTTGAATGATTACATAGAATATAATAAAATTATTTGTTTTTCTATAATAAGATGGACCCCCACACATCATCAAGTACGGCTAATGATAATATGGGATTCAAGAGAAACTTGCAATGGACACCATCAGAAGATGACTATTTTATCGATCTAATGGAGGAGGAGACCAAGACTGTGAAGAACGCGGGGAGGGGGGTGGGGGTGGGGCTTTAAAAAATGTGCATGGGTATGGCAAGCATAAGTTCTTTACAAACATGTACGGTGACATAAAAAAGCTTATGGCTGTATCTGGTTTCAGATGGGATGATACAAGGAGGATTGCAACCACCGAGGTTGCTGTTTGGAATGATTTCCTAGTGGTATGTAATTACTCATTTGCATAGACTTTTAAATTGTTGATTATGATGAAATATGAATATCGCACAAATTAATTTCTGATCTTCTATATGCAAGAGAATGAATGGGCAAATAAATATTATATCAAGACTTTGCCCAACAATTCGCAGATACGTAAAATCTATGAGGGTGGCACAGTAGATGAGACCTACAAATTGATTGGGGGTGGCATTAGAATTGAGCTAGAACGGCCCAACATTGCATTCTCTGATGGCCCCCCTTAGAAGTCCAGGATGAATCTAGCTCATCCTCATCTGATGACCCAGTATCATCTGGATAAAAAGACGACGGTCCCATACTCCGATAGAAAGACATTGCCAATCAAAGCAACCCACCCTCGTCGAGTCCATGATTAGTTTGGCCCATTTGTTATGTTGAAATAGTTTTTACCATTTTTAGTTATATATAAAACTAAAACAACAATTACCTTCTATGTAAATATGTGTCTATTGTATTTGTTAAGAATATGAATTAAATGTATAAAACATAACTGTCGTCATTTTAAATGTTGGTTTGCACCATATTGTCATGATCATCATAGTCAAGGACATAATTATACAATGTAATTATATGAAACATAAAAATTGTAGAATTTGTTTGTATTGTAATTTATTTGTGAATGCAACAGGTATGTCGACAACATCTACAAATACTGGGGGCTTCCCACCCCGTCTATGTCCTCACTGTGATGTTTATTGTGTTATATATACATCTAATACTAGTGACAACCCAAATAGACTATTCTATCGATGTAAGCAAAGTAAATGCCATCGGTATCAAGATGATAATTGTAAATTCTTCCAGTGGTGTGATAAGTATGTAGCAGATTCCAAACAACATGACAAATTTGAGACACCGACATGCACGACAGTGGAGTTACCCACAAGAATCAGATGAACATGACCAAAAAAATAATGAACCAATGGTAGTACAACAAGCGGACATTGACCTGGCCCAATTATGACATATTTTGTATTTCGTATGTATAACTAATGTTCTTCTTGTATTTGCCTTTTTCATTTTCATGCAACATCTCGTGAACCTGTAAAAAAGAATGCATTGAAATCAACAACTTTTAATATGGCCTTATTTATTTGTCGTCTTTATTTTTTACATCTGATCTGTTTGCCATCAAGCATCCCCTTCTTTGGGAACTGGATGTGTATGTGGGCTCGTGGAGAAATATTGTATGATGTTTTCTTATTTAGGGTTTTAACTATGTCTGGGATGGTAAGATGCTTTTGAGGGTTATTCTGCCTTTGATCTAGTTCTTCTTCTTATTTATTATCTGTGTTTTCTGATTTGTAGTTCATATTATGATTCATTGCCTGTGTTTTAATTGAGTCTTCCCCCAAAAGTGGAGGGTTTATATAATGTTTCTATATTAATCTATAGGGGGCTTCATCCTAGGGCTTAGTAA